AGAAAAGATACATACGTATGATAGGAATTTGTGTATCACATATTTTGCCTGTATAACCAGGTACACATTGACATTTGAAACAATCAATAGTTGTTGGATCTTCGATACATTCTCCGCCATTTTCACAGTTAACAAAAAGACATGCATTGTCTAAAAAATCGAAGAGAAAGAAGTATGATGATGAAAGTATTCCGTTAAAAAGTTGTTACTGTTTAGATTAGGACATTGATTATTTCCAGTTTGTCGAACAAATCGATGTCTTAACGCATCGATACGTGTTGATAATAATAATGTAACGAAAATAATCAAAATACATAATGAATGCATAGTGATTATCTTGCCTTTGAGTTGCTTATGATTGAACTAACAGTAATAACTTTCGTACTAACTTGTTTCTTTTGCTGTCGAACATGCATATATATTGACATGGGACGTCTTACCTGCCTACTTGTAATCGATGCTAAATAAACTTACAGCTTAGAAATGAAAGAAGAAATCAATAAATCAATTACTCGAATTACTGAGTTATAGTCATCGAACATGGTTTGCCTCGTCGTTGTTTTTCAAGGTTATCAAAAAGAACAAAACTGAAGTACATCCTTATCTTACTCTTGATATTGAGAAGAAAATAATAATATGATAGGCATTGTTGATAGATAAATATAGAATCTCAGGATACCAGAAAAAAGAACATTCTTAACAATTTACTAACACAAAATGATAAGAAATTCAATGTTATACAACAATTTCTTTTGATTTCAAAAATTCATCTCAATCATATATATGATATATTTATTTGTTTTTTTAAATATTTATATTATTCGGTATAAATAAAAAAAATTGTCACCGTTACATAAACATCTGGAGTTTCTTTTGTAATTGTTATATGACAATCTTGTTTACGACTCCATATGCATCGACTAGTAATACGTAGATCTTGACCTTTCTTTTCTCCAATACACACTTGTGTCACAATTTTATAACGTGGAAATGGTAATTGTTTCATTTGATTGCGTATTAAGTCAGCTAATGCTACTGCAAATTGTTGTGCTTGATTTGCATCATATTTATAGCCAGCTATAACTGTTTCAATAACACTTGTTGTAACATGACGTATTCGAACTAAATCAACTTTATGTTCGTCATCAGGTTCCATTCGATATGTATTTTCATATCGAATAAAACGACGTTCGTGTACACTTCGAGAAAAAGAATTAGATGATGATTGACGATGTTGTTGTAAAGCAGCAAAATTTCTACTAGTATTAGTACCAGTATTACCTCCAGTATTGCTAATAAGAATTGAATTTCGTTGTAAAGTATTACGTGATTTATAACCATGTGTTTCTGAACTACGTACGTCAGCAGAAGAATTTTCAATTGCTATATTCAAATCTGTCATTTTTTGCTGTTAAATAGAAAAAAAAAGTCAGAGCAATTTATTTTAAAATAGTGAATTTTATGGTTTTTCTGTTCTTTTTATATTGTAACTTTTTCAGTGAACACATATATGCATAGCATAGAAAGAAAAGTTCATTTGTCATCTACAGATCGTCGACATGATCTCGCTCGTCATATTTTTTTTTCTTTCCGTCTTTCTTTTTAACTGCACTTTATATATTAGCTTGAGTATTCTTCTTAACACAACAAGTTGGAAAAAATCAATAATAAAATAAATTGCTAAATCTGAACTTTTTTTTTTATTGGAAAAACCTTTTGATTTTACATAAAACAAAACAAAAAAGAAAAACATATAATTTGATAACAACTTAACGATCACCGGTCATCGGCCGACCTCGACCAACATTACTACCCGAACCGAAATAAGTTGATGGTGATTGAATAGAATGTTGATTGTCATTATGGGATGAATTTAAAATACGAGGTGTTACTGATGTTTGCCGATAAAAATGATTATTCATAGTATTTTGTTGATGATAAGATGTACGTCCATGACCTTGAGATCTTGATGAATTATTTTCATAACGAAAACTAGCTGAACTTGCTGTACGTAATTGTTGCTGTTGTTGTTGTTGTTGTTGTTCACTTTGATTATTATAATTTTGCATTGATATTGAACTAGGAATTTGTTGAGATTTTTGTTGTTTTTGTGTATGTCGTTCATTTAATGACATATTTTCAATTGCAGAATATAATGTTGGCCATTGCATTTGATCTCCATTAGTATCATTATTGAGTATACTATTATTATTGACTAATATTGATGATGACGAAGCTGAATTCAATAGAGAAGATGTTGATTGTGTATTTTTACTGGAAAAGATAGTATAAAAAAAAGAAGCATTAAGTTTATTTTATTTTTTATATGTTTACGTACGAAAGAGATGTGCGTTTAAGTAAATCTTCTGTATATTTTTCCATTGAATGACCACGAGCACGATTAAATGCTAAAATTTAATTTTGAATAAAAAAAAAGAAAAATATTTTTGCTTTTGTTTTGATACCTTCTAAAGCTTCGTTTGGTTCAAAGGCCATTTGTTCAATCATATATCTAAAAATATATTACAAAAGATGTCAATAGAAAAAAAGAATTTTATTTGATTTTTCTACCTCACAATTAAATAACCTGTTCGATTAAGTCCATGTGTACAATGAACACCAATTAATTTATCTAGAAAATACAAAGAAATTTTAAAATCAAGTTTAGTCTTTTTCTTGGTATTACCATTATTTTTATTTTCTTCAAGAAACTTCCGTACAACATTAGCAAACTGTTGATAACATGTTTCACTTGGAATTTGATGATGACCAGGTGTCATCATTTTATGATATTGAATTTGTGCATCAGCAATATCCTGTTATTAAAATGACAATATTATGTCATGTTCATTAGAAAAATAATACAACTAACGGCTGCTTTATAATATCGATCAGTATTTGTTAAATCAATTATTAAGCCAAGTTCTTTTCCTTTATCATCAAGTCGTTCAACAAGATCACCTAATGTAAAACGTCGTTCTTCAGTCAAATGCTTTTGCATTTCCTATAAATTCAATTACTTATGCATGAAAATTTTTGTTTTTGTTTTCTTTTGATAAACTAAAAACTATAACAAACCGGTTTTAATGGACATTTAAATGCAATAAAACGAGTATTTTCAACCCATGAATTAACACCTAAATAGTCAAGCCATCTACAAAAAAGAAGGATTCGGAAAATAAAAAAAAAGAAAGAAAGAACAAAAGGGATTTATAGGTATTTTTTACCGATCAGGAATACCACCCGATGAACCTGATTTTCGTTTTTTTTCTTCTTCACGTTGTTTGTTAGTTGCTCGAAAACGTTGAGGTTGTTGATATTGAAAATCATCCATATTTATTGACGTAAAAAAAGCTTATCTTTAAAATGAAAATAATAACAATGTTTATAAGTATTAATTAAATATATAAAGAAAATAAAATAGATTAAGAAAATACTCAGTTATAGATTCATAAAAGATGATGAAAGCTGAATTAATTTATGACTTGCAAATTCTTGCATCACAACATATTCACAGTTATGCAATAGAACAGAATGGGAAAAAAAAACAAAAAAAGGATGACTCACTCTAAGAATTAACATAAGATATGTATTGATTTGAATACATTCTACTTTGATAGAATCATATTACTTTAAATAATTAAGTATTGTAACTGATAACTGTTGACAAAATATATAAATCACTATCATGTTTTTATACATTGTCTATTCTATTTTTCTTTGCGGCATGTAAATAGTATAAAATAAATATTTATCGGTTGATTATCCATCATCCGTCACAATTTATATTACAAGTCTTGGCTGAGAAATACTTTTTTAATATTCAATTTTTTGATAATTGAAATGTATATATTTTCAAATCAATCTATCGATCATATGATAAAAGTAATGTCAAAAAAAACAAAACTCTTTCAATAAAACTTTATTTCTTTTCCAATGATCATATGCTAACTGAAGCATAATAGATCTCTTCCGATTGAAATAAAACATCAGAACAAAAATTATATCTTGATTTTTTTTTCCAATAAAATACAGCAAAAGGAACAAAAATATAGACAATCAAATCAATCTTTTTTTCTTTCTTTTTATTGAACAGGTTCTAAAGGAGAAGAAAGAACATTAACATTTGATGTTGTTGTTACGGTCGTTGGTATTGATTGTTGCTCTTGTCCACATATTTCATCTAATTGTTTATTTTGCATACGAATAACAACAGCTACTGATGTACATGGTAATATACCTAATTCTGTAATAACAGCACTTATAAATGTCGGCGGTGTAACATCATATGTCATATTAAGAATATTTAAATTTGAATTTGATGAATTAGAATTTTGTGTTGTTGATGATGACGATGACATAGCTGCACGAAGAAGTGGATGATCAGCAACTAAATCATTTGGATCACCTGAATTATGAAAAAACAAAAAAGGTAATTTTTTGTAAAATTTTAATAAATTAATATCATACCAAGTTCATTAACAACGAAACTATCAGTTTGAACACGTTCACAAAATTTATATGTTTCACAGCAAACAAGTACAGGTACATTATGTGTTTTAGCAATAAGAGATATTTGTGCTGTACCAACTTGATTCATGACATAACCATTACCTAATAAACCATGTGCACCTAATAATACTTTTGTTACCTATAAATGAAATATATTCAATTTAATAAATAAAATATTTCTATTTAAAAAAAATAACTACAAACTTCTGAAATAATAAATGGTACAGCATTAATAAGTACATAAGTACATTTAACATTTAATGCTAATAATCTTCGAGCAGATTTAAGACCTAAATAATATTTATTCAAATAGAAAAATAATATTTCTTTGAATAAATTTTACCATGTTGTTGCGGACGAGCATCAACAATAATCACTCGAAAATCAATTTCACGATTAATAGCTGTTTCCAAAATACGCATAATTAATGATGAACTAAATATTT